AAAAACATTTATAATAATTTCGATCATCTGTGAATAGTTTCTGAAAGTTTCATTAACATCCGATAATTATTTCTATTTTTGCACGATTTTCAAATTATTGTGTGTCATACCAAAAAAAACGTGCTAAAAATTGTCTATGTTATTTACTATTTCGCTGATACAAATAGAAAAAGGTTTTTTTTTTTTATCAAAATTTAGAATGTTCTCAAAAGAAGGAAAATTTTTTAAAAATAAATAAAAAAAAAACTTTGGTCTTTCCTCTTAATAATAACATAAGCATTTAGACAATAAAATTTAGTTTTCGGCAAGTTTGGCGTCTTTTTCATCAAGCTATGCTCTTTTTTTAGCGATTTCGTGGAGGTACCTAAGTAAATGGTAATGTTGTCTGCATAGATGTCTACTAGAGAACTGATGACACCAGGAAGATTATTGATGAAGATCAGAAACAGTGTATGACCGAGGAGAAAGCGTTGAGGAACACCAGCGTTCGTTTGGTTTGGTTTATTTTGTTTAACGGCATATCAACCTCAATGGGTTATTTAATGCCGACAACATTCTTAGGATAAATTTGTATGAATAGTATATGCATTCTTTGGTTTAGATTGGTTTGGTTTATTTTGTGTTACAGCATATCAACCTCAATGGGTTATTTAATGCTGACAAAAGTTTTTATTGCTGGTAATATTTTGTTTTGTCAAAAATCTGTTTCTGGTAATATATTTTCTTTGAAATTGTATTGCTGGTAATAATTTTTTTCAAAAAACTATTGCCCATAGCTGGGACCCTAACAGGTGCTACCACCCCGGGTCAGGGTGGACCTGGGAACACCAGCAATTAAGAGGTGGTTTCATGCTCCTCAAAACCTCCTGATCAGAGGCCTTGCTGCTGGGTGTAGTTTAATGTCTTATCCAGGATGCATCAGCGTTCGTATGGAAGAAAGTGAAAGAGAACCTGTTCAGGAAGCTTACATAGAAGGCAAGCATGCCAAACCCTGTCAAACACCTTCAATTTATCTAGAGCAACAGCTCAAGCTTCGCCATTATTATCAAGAACTTGGGATACATATTTAGTTATGGCCTTAATTACATCAACGGTAGACCGGGTAAAATGGAAACCATATTGTTTGTCAGAGAGCAGATTGTGGCAGGTGAGATGTTTAACTAATTTGGCATTGATTAAGGCCTCGAAGACTTTGCTGAAGAGTGGTAGGAAACTGATGGGATGGTAGTCAGATGGGTCAGAAGGGTCTCCAGAGTTTTTAAAGACTGGGACAACAGAGGAGGACTTCCAACAGGCTGGAAAGCAAGAATCAGCGAGGCAATAGTTGTAAAATTTGGAGAGAACTGGAGCCACATTTCTTTAGGACTACGGCTGTTATCTCATCACCACCACTTGTTTTATGAGAGTCTAATTTAGAGATGATGTCTAATACCACATCTCACTTAGTATAGCCTCATTTCGGATGTGTTGTGTGTTGAGTTTGATGAGAATTTCTGAGTAAAGCATTCAGCTTTATGGTTACATCTTGCAGTTTCAACTGCAAAATGATGAGACCTACCTGACAATCTAGTCAGTGCCATGCGTGATACATGCTTAGGCGATCATGTATCTTTTGATACATGACTGATGAAGCAGATTTTTTTTTTCTGCAGTAGGTTTTCATTTCTTTCCGCAGAAGACCAGTTGTCATCCAAAGCTATAGAACCCGGTCTGTCCTGCTATTTACCCATAGCTGGGGGACGAGAAGAAGAGGATTCATACTTTCCCCCAAGAGTATTAGCACATAAGCGAATGTAATGGATTCAACTGGAATTTGAACTCAGCTCTCTGATTCCTCAATCTGAGCCGCTATCCATTTGTGAAGTCGAGGTACCAATGAGGAAAATGACGTTTTGAAAAATACAAAAACATGGCACAGGGCCAAAAAGAGGGATAAGAGAAAGGCTGGTCTTATCTTAAACTTAGGACAATCACTGACCCAAACATACCACATTATCCCTTATATCAAAACACAACCTTCTTACTATTCTTATTACAGCCGCCATAATACCTCAAAGTCTCTATGAAGTCCTAACTTGTTTCCATTTGTACAATTTGTCTTTGTGGGTGGGGAATATGATGGTGTGTAAATGACATGACGGAGAAAGCAGCAAAGTAATTTTTTGAGATGGGTATACGTACCCTCAATCAATGAAAGGAATTCATGTTGAGGACTAGATTTGGAATCCCGACTGACCCTCATACCATGACTGAGACAGAAGGAGACTATGTTGAGGACTAGATTCGAAACCCTGAGTCTTTTGTATTCATTTTGATATGATTTGTATGTTTCTACTATTAAATGCATTTGAATTAAAGAAGAGGCATTACTTTTTGACTGACCCTCATACCATGACTGAGACAGAAGGAGACTATGTTGAGGACTAGATTCGAAACCCTGAGTCTTTTGTATTCATTTTGATATGATTTGTATGTTTCTACTATTAAATGCATTTGAATTAAAGAAGAGGCATTACTTTTGACTGACCTCATACCATGACTGAGACAGAAGGAGACTATGTTGAGGACTAGATTCGAAACCCTGAGTCTTTTGTATTCATTTTGATATGATTTGTATGTTTCTACTATTAAATGCATTTGAATTAAAGAAGAGGCATTACTTTTTGACTGACCCTCATACCATGACTGAGACGGAAGGAGACTATGTTGAGGACTAGATTCGAAACCCTGAGTCTTTTGTATTCATTTTGATAATTTGTATGTTTCTACTATTAAATGCATTTGAATTAAAGAAGAGGCATTACTTTTTGACTGACCCTCATACCATGACTGAGACGGAAGGAGACTATGTTGAGGTCTAGATTCGATACCCTGAGTCTTTTGTATTCATTTTGATATGATTTGTATGTTTCTACTATTAAATGCATTTGAATTAAAGAAGAGGCATTACTTTTTGACTGACCCTCATACCATGACTGAGACAGAAGGAGACTATGTTGAGGACTAGATTCGAAACCCTGAGTCTTTTGTATTCATTTTGGTGTGCTTCTACTATAAAATACGTTTAAAAAGGAAGGGGAGACTACATTGAAAACAATCTTTTTTTTTTTCTTATCTCCAACTTTGTTTTTATTGCTCAGCCCAATGTAGGAGTTATTCAGACCGAGTGGGATTGGAATGCATAATTCTAATGTCTTATTTCAAACTTAGTTAAACTCTATGTGTGTGTATACATTAAATGGTACAAGCACATATATGTTACTCAATTACTCACTCACAACACAGATTTCTTTATATACATTACATCAGGCATGTGTAACCTTTTTGCAAACAGTGGATTGCATTTGACACTGTTCATCATAAGGTAGGCTGCACTACTAATTAAAAAATATAAAAATAATTTTTCACTAAAGATACTGCATCTATTTTCCTAAGGACCATGCACATAAGCATCTGCCTTAGAAATGGTGAAGAGTCGATTTTTTTATCTTTGGAGAAAAGATTCCTTCTGTAATTAAAACAAAAAACCCTGAAGTCTTTGTATAATATTATCACTGATGACAGTAAGTAACACACACTGCTGCATCGGATTTGTTTTTAATTTATTCATTTGATGATACAAAAACATTCTTTAAAAGAAGTCTGTCTATTCTCTAGAGAAAAATAATTTTCATTAACTGTTGTAGCATACCTATTTACGATAATGGGTATGTCCCCATTCACATAAATACAGTAGTAAATACTATATGTTGGTTTGCAGTTGGAGATTCATTATGGAATTCATTTGACTCACTTCTAGCAGTAGACTAATTCTTCTACACATCATTGGCAAATCTTATACGTGTTGTTCTTGTCCTAAGTATTATCATTCATTACCAACTTTTGTGTTTATTCTATTCAGTAATCTTCCCTAGGTTACAACAAAATTGTATTGTAAAGTAAGAGATAAGATGATTTCTCTCAACAATCCAAGAAAGCTAAGTATTTCAAACTATTGTATTTCATCTATGTTGTAACATACCTACAGACGATGATGGGTATATCCCCATTCACATAAATACAGTAGTAAATACTGTATGTTGGTTTGCAGTTGGAGATTCATTGTAGAATTCACTGGACTTAATTCTAGCAGTTGACTACTATTTCTACACATCGCTGGTGAATCTTATATGTGTTGTTCTTGTCTTCAGCATTATCGTTCATTTCCAACCTTTGTGTGGTTATTCCATTCAGTAGCCTTCCCTAGGTTACAACATTAACGTTTCCTGTTTCTGAAGCAAAAGGTGTTTTCACTTATGATCTTCCTTAGTGAAAATTGTCAAGTGTTTAAAATGCTGACAATGAAAAGTTACAAAATTCAAGAAATATTATACTTAATCATTATTTATTTGTTTAGCAGCATATCAACTCCTTATCGGACATTTAATGCTAAAATTTAATTTTCTTGGGAGCATTAGGAATTTTTTTTTTTTTTTTACAAAAATGTATTTCAGAAAACATATTGGTGATAATTTTTTTTTCTCATAAAAACATATTGGTGATAATGTTTTTTTCTTTTCCAAAAATGTATTGCTGGTAATTTTTTCACTGAAAATGTATTTCTGGTATTTTTACTACCAAAATATATATCTGTGATTTCATAGGGTTTTATCCTTGTTTATATACATAGCTATGCATGAGAGTCAACAGGTAAGATTGAAAGCGAACAAACAAAATTTTAATATCGTTATTTTCCTCATGAATTAGATGTGCCATTCAGAATGACAATTGAGCCCAATGTGTGACCTGTGAGCTGCAGTTTGCCTATGACTGCATTACATAAACATATACAAACCCACACGCAGTGTGTGATGGATAGAGAATCAGTTCTTTTATAATGAATGATGCTGGAGCCCTGTTCATTGATAGAAACTCAAGAAGTCTGAATTGGCTTCCTTAAGTTCCAGACAATTTACATTATAATTTGCTCACAATTTCCATAAGATTATAAAAATACTTACACGATTTTGTAGCAAAAGGGGAAGCCACTTGGAAGCTGACAACTTTGAAGAAAACTGGGGAATATTCCGAAGTATATTCAGAGCCATCTGAAAAATGAGATGAAATTTAATGTTTAGACCAGTTATACAATTATACACACAAATGCTGCTTGACAGGACAGATGCAAGTGAGGTCTGCTTAACTGATGAAAAAAAAAACACAAAAATTAAAAATAGAATGTTTTTCTTTAAAAAAAGCCTAGTAGATGCACATGTGCACACACACAAATGAATATACATTATCATCCAAATCCTGCATAGACAAACTAAAATTATGAGATGCATACACACACGAATTATACACTTGAATGTTGTTTGACAGGATAGATGCACATAAGGTCTGCTTAACCAATGAAAAACACAAAAATTAAAAATAGATTTTTCTTTAAAAATGTCTACTGTTGATTTCAATCCCATAAAGAATGACTGTAGAACACTTGCCCCTCCCCTTTTATGTGTAAAAGCACACAATTGTATACTGGGATTTTTTTCTTAGCCAAGAGATTGGTTTGCAGATTGACATGACTCAATCCTGATCTGCCTTGTTTAGAAATCAGAACACAACGTTCGCTTGTCTGAACTTGCTTTTGTGTCAAGGCCAATTCTTAGATTGTAAACTTTTTGCCTTTAAAATTGTATTTACCAATCATAACTGGAAACACTTACTATAATTCAATGACCCCCAGTATTTTAAAAATAGTTTTTTTTAAAAATAAATGTGTCGATTTTGTAAATATAGATGTGCATAGCATACACATCATTATCAGACAATAAGTCACTATATTAAATTTAAAATTTATTGGTAATTTCCTAACATTTTTTCAACAAGTGTCTTCATATATAAGGTACTTGAAATTGCTCACAATATTTTCTTAAACATTTAAGATTACTGTGTAGCTAAAAAAATTACATAATGCATTCATGTCGTATTCATCATGTAATTTCATTCTGTCCTGTCTCTCTTCTTAAATTTTCCAAATATCAGGCTTTTAATAAAAATACAGAAAAGCAACCTCAGTGTTTAAAAAAAATGCTTTTTTGCGATATTTTAAACTAAAAAAAGTAAATAATATTTTGTTTCAATTCAGATTGAATAATATTTAAGTCAGCTGTTTTCTCAAATAACGTTTGAGAAAAGTTTATTTTTGAAAGATTTTTAAAGAGAATTATGTCGTGTTGACAGATTTGAGCGATTTTAGTTTACTAAGGAGAAAAAAGAAGATCGTAAGCAGTTTTTATTCAGTTTGAATTTGACATAGGATTCGTTTTTGTTAAATTCACCCCCAAAATAAAAAGAATTTTTTGTATTTACTAAAATTCACATCAAAATCTCGCAGAGCGGGCCCTTCCATTGCACTCGGGATGGGTTGACCTTTGCGATTGCCCCATTGCGTTTCGGTTTATTTCTAAGAGTGGTGTCAGCATACGCGCTCACCCCGATAAATAAGCCAAAAACAGATTTTTTTTTTTTAATTATAAAAATTTCTTTAAGTACCTTCATTCTCACTTACGAAATGTGAATAACTCCCTGATTTTTGGTATGTTTTTTCATTCTGACAATTGGAGTTACTGCGAGAGAAGCTAAACAAATTTTGATTTAAAATTTATTATTTCAAGAGAGTGTCAAAAATTTAATAAAAAAACAAACTTTGATTTAAAAAAAAAAGTATAATTTCTTGGGGTAAATTTGCGATAAATGGGGTGAATTAACTAATTATTAACAGAAAAGATCCTTGAAATACATTAAATTAAGAAAAAAACTATTTTGTTTATTTGTGAATGTTAAATTTAATGTATTAGCTTGGAATTAAAATCATTAAAAAGTTTCAAGATTTTTCATTTTTTTAAACTTTTTTAAACACTGTGTTTTTTTTTTCTTGTTCTTCAGGTACCTCATACATAAATTAACATTTTTATTTTCAAGCTAAACATATAATAAACTTATTATATATATATATATATAAAGTTGTATTAGATAATTCCTTGACATTAAACTGAAATTCTCTGATAATTCCTTGATTTTTCTTAAAAAAAAAAAAAAAAAAGACAATTTGTTTCAATTTTCTATGTTGATTTGTGGACTCTGTTTTTAAATGTAGTAAACTAAACAGAAAAGTTTTTAATATGAAAATACTTTATGCTTTAGAAAGACCTGCACTAGAACAGAGTTTAAAATGTCTTACATCGTCTTAATTAAGTTCGTATACCTATAACAAACAAGAAATGCATTTACTTATTGCGAAAATTAAAAGAAAATAATAATTTCTGACCTTCGTTGACTTCCATGTGTTTCAACTCCGGTAACCATGCAAAGCTAGCAAATAGATATGTCTATAAAAATGATAGTTTCGTATTTCGTAATTATTAATTTATATATCTATAAATTTAATACGCTTAAATAATTTTTTTTTTTACAATAATTTAGAAACTTAAATCGTAAAGTTTATACCAAGAATTAATAAGTGATTTTATTAATTTTTATTTGTAATTTTTAAAGTAAACCATAGAACGACACCGGTGTTTAGTTTTTTTTTTGTTAATTGTGGGAGGTGCTTGAAATTTCAAACATGGTAGGTAAAAGTTTCCTTTTGTTTATAAGAAAAGAGAAAAGAATTTCAACTTGTAATTTAGTCAAACTTAATTTATAACAATATAAGATAGGAGATTATCCTATGCATTAAAATATAAATTTATTTATTTAAAAAAATATCCGTTTTAAATTACTTTTCTCGCTCGATGTGTAGTAGTCATGGATCGCATTTTTAAATTAATAAATTGTGAAGAAAATTAAATTAAAATTATTCTCTCTTTGTAGAAAATAGAATGATTTAAATGTCTATGTTAATTTCTGGATTACATGTTTTTTTACACTTACAGTCAATATCTTTTGATTGAAATGTTTGTCTTTATGAAAAAAAAAGCATTATTATTATTTAATCCTAATGGAAATCTTAAAAATAATTTTAACCCTAACATTACAGGTTAAAAGGGAATACTACTTTTTGTCTCAACAAGTTACAAAACAACAGTCTTGTTTGCTCTCTAGTCTAAAAATAAATGTAAAATCATTTGTTTTTTGCTGCACATTCCAATTGTATGAAAATTGAGAAAAATTAAAAACTAAATAAAGAAAGTCTAGAATCGGGGGTCATAATTCGAAAATTAAAATTTATTGTTTATTTTCAAATACATTTTTTGACTATTTTTTATTCATCAGATATATGTCTGATATTTCCATCCGTGCGGATGCTTGTTGGTCTCTTTTGCTCTGAGAAAAAAAAAAAAAAACGCTTTGAAGCCAGCCATTCTATTATTTGAGTTGATTAAATCAACAAAATTATTTTCATGAAGTATTGTGATTTTACCCCTGATCATTTAAGTCAGTAAGTTGACCAACCATCGCTAAATAATCGTAGAACTTTGTTCACTAGTCTTTTAGTTTTATTTGTATGACTGCTTCGATCTATCAGGAATATAAATTCTAAAAGGAATTTCTTCAGAATTTCTTTCAATTCCTTCAAAAAATGTCGTTGTTGATGAGGGACTCAGCCCCGGTTTCAATTAATCTCCACTAATCTTTGGTCTAGCCGCTGACAAAAAAAAAAAAAAAAAAAAAAAAGAAAGATTTTTAACCAAAATTTTAACCATGCTAGAAAGGATTCAAAAAGTAAAAAAAAAAAATCAAAAAATACTTTGATCTTTCCTCTTAACAAACATTTTTGACGATAAAATTTTGCTTTTATCAACTTTAGAGCCTTTTTTTCATCATATGCTGTTTTTTCAGCGAATTAGTGGAGGTACCTCTCCAATATTTTTTCTGAACCTCCAATTTTATTTTATAAACAGCTTTTTTTTTCTTCAGTGAAAGAAAAGCACACATTCCTATAAAATCTTCTAAACCAACTGTTTGCTTCGAGCAACTGTAGTGACTTTTAAAAATCAAATCAAATCAAGCACTCACGATATTTTTTGTCCATAAGTGTCACTGTATCATTAATAAAATTACTTTCATTTTTTGCGTAGTTTACGATTTATGGTACCTGTACGTTGGAGTAATGGATAGCGGCTCGGATTAAGGAATCGGAGAGCAGAGTTCGAATTCCAGTCGAATCCAATACATTCACTTGCGTGCTACCCTTGGCAAAAGTATGAATCCTTTTTTCTTCTCCCCCCCCCAGCTAAGGTTAAATAGCAGGACAGACTGGGTTCTATAGCCTTGGATGGCAACTGGTCTACTGCAGTAAGAAATGGCTACCTACTGCGGGGAAAAAATCTGCCTCGTCAGTCATGTATCGAAAGATACATGATCAGCTAAGGAAGCGTGTATCACACATTGCACCTAAGTTTATGCACCCCCTCCCTATTTTAATCATTTTTATTTTACCTGAGAAAAAATGTTTCTATCATTATTTGAGTAAGTCGTAACGATGCTTAGTTTTAAATAAAACCAAGCATCGTTAAATTACGACTTACTCAAATAATAATATCGAAATTTTTTTCGATTTTTTATTTCATGTTTATTATTCGATTTTCCCCTCTCCAATAAGCAAAATATTAATTAATTTAATATTAAAATATTTTAACAATAAACTTGATAGACAGAAAAAAGACTGAAAAGAGGCAAATAGACTGGTCCTCTTGTAAAAAAAAAAAAAAAAATTAGGGAAACAGATTTAAAAAAAAATAATATTGTACATTAGGATTCTTTAGGGATCCTTTATATACCTCGACACTTGTTAGAATGGGAAAATACTGATTTAAAAAAAAGGGGGTTTCTGTTTATCAATACATTGGGTCGTAAAAGTGAAAGGTCTCTAGCATGAAGAAGCGAGGGAATAAAACAGGGGACATAACTCACGCAAAAAAGTAATTTTGTTAAAACACTTATGAGCTAAAAAAAAGATATATTAAAAAAAATCTTAAAAAAACTAATTTAATTACTTTATGGAATTTATTCCTGATAGATTGAAAAGTAGAAGCAGTCATCCAAAGACATATTAAAAAAAATCCTATATTCATTAGTGCTAATTGGTCTGCTTATAATGGGATTAAAGAAAAAAAAATTATCTGTCCCTGGAATGTCTGGATGTTAAAAACCCAAATTTAAATGAAAAATTAAATTCTCAATTAAATTTAAGTTTTACCCGTATACGATATTAAATTAAATATTTTTAAAATATTACACAGGACTAAACTGCCGATTCCGTTCTCGGCTTCTTCATAGGAAAGAAACTAACAACAAAACTACTCAATAAAGCAGACGATCTTAAAAACAACTACTCAGATAAATATTTATTTTTTAACAAATCAAAAATGACATGCATATTGTTCCATATTCTAAGTAGTAACAAACAAAAATAAACAAAAGGATTTTTTTTTACTTACATAAATTTAAAGTTGTCAGTCTAGAAGGTATCATTCCATAAGCAGACAACTCAAACATCTTTTTTTTTTTTTTTTTTTTTTCAACCTTTTCTTTAAATAAATCTTGTTAATGTTAATTATACCATTTTTTAAACAATTTCTTCAGATTCTTTTATATTCTTTCTTCTTTCTTCAAATACATTTCTTTTTTCTTCCCTCGAAACTCTTTTTCACTTACTCAGGAGCTGAAAGTGTAAATTAGAAAACAACCCTAACCTAGTCTAGGATCTGAAAATGGTAAATTTTGGTTTTGTTTCCCGAACGCTGATATCCCCTTAAAATTTTTCGAAAATCGTCATAGTTCCGTGCAAATGTGCATGCTGAACTCGAATTAACAATTGAATTATGAAGAATAGAAACCTTCATAATTTTGGAGTTATCGACAAGAAAAAATCGGACTTCTTGTTGGTCAATCGTCCCCCATTACGGCCATCATGTTTAGTAATTTATTGCGTAGTACTTACGCAGGCGTAATCAGAAAATTTGGCCTATTTACTTCTTTTACAGACTTTCTTGCAGAAAATCACTACGCACTACCGTAAAGAAGTGTAATTTTTTTTTTTTGTTATTCAAAACGGAGAAAAGGTTCTGTTGTATTATTTAATTTTTTTTTGTTATAAATACAACTTCACTTACCAAAAAGTGAATTGATGGCAGTAATGGGGGACGAATGACCAACAAGAAGTCCGATTTTTTTCTTGTCGATAACTCCAATGTTAATTCGAGTTCAGCAAGTACATTTGCACGGAATTATGACAGTTTTGGAAAAATTTTAAGGGATATTAGCGCTCGGGAAACAAAACCAAAATTTACCCTTAAAACCTTATTCGATGAAGAATATCCTTTAAATCTTATTTTAAACTAAAGAATGTGAATAGAGGGGCATAATTCCCCGCATCGAACGACTCTGCCAAACAAAAAGAAACGTTGACAAACAAATAAATCAAATGCAATAATTCCCTTTCTAGGGAATTAAATTACCTTCTTTTAGCTTCGGAATTCTACCGAAGCTAACAAAATCTTTTTTCTTCAAAGTTTTTTCAAATATAAACAAAATCTCAGCTACGGAATTCTACCGAAGCTAATAAAATTTTCTCACAAACTCCTTCGATGCGAAAACTCACCCTCCCCTTTTCCCATCCATAAAAATAAAACCAGTATAGCTATTTAAAAGATAAATAAATATTATTATTAAATTAACTAAGGTAAATATAATTCGATACTGTAAGTAAGTCGAATTATTTAAAGGTAACATTTTATTTTACGTGGCAAACTAAAATTAGTTAACCACGGAGCCAGAATAAAAAACGTCTTAAACGACCGAGGATAAATATCTGACTGAGGATAAAATCCTCTGATAAAAAAGGAGTCGTCTGCAGCTTCCAATTCCATGAAAAAGAGCGGCAACAAAAATTATCGTCTGTTTTGCCATCAGACGTATATTATACAAAATATCAATACATCATAATATTTTACCACTGAAATCATTGAAAAGATGTCTTTTCTGTAAATAAAAATTTTCCAAAAGCTTAATTAAATGATGTGAGGTACAATCACATCACAATCACATTTTTACAATTTTGTACTTCGCACTCAAAATAGAGAATAGCTGGCTTCATAAAGCGTTTCCTCAGACGAAAAACAAACATCTGCATAAATCAGAATATATATTTCAAAAGAAATAAAAAAATGTATTTGAAAATAATAAACTATATACAGGCACCTCCCGATTAGTGCACTAAAATTTTTATATACCAAAAATGCAATTAATGCACACATAATACTCGATTAGTGCGGCAAACATTTGACGCTATTACACTTTCGCACCCCCATTGCGATAAAAACGAACGTAATTTTTTTTATTTTTTAAAAGAGGCTCTTTAAAAAAAGAAAAAGAAAAGATAAACACAACTATCGTAGGGCATAGTTGGTACAGAAATAGAAACGACACAAAAAAAATCCCCCCCCAAAAAGCACCCCCAAAGGTAAATAAAATTATTAAAAAACTAGTTTACACTGATTAAAAAGAAAAGTGGGGATGCGAAAGTGTAATACACTAAACATTCTTCAGTTTAACTATAGTAATTGAAAATTGATTTCTTTTTAATAGTTACCAATGTACAAATTAGCCGTACTAATCGAGGGATTCCTGCATATAAAAATTTTTAACTCACGAGCTATGGCCCCTGTTTCATGCCCGCCCCCCATTCTACCTAAAATTGATCCCTCCCTGAATTTTATACAGTTTTGCGTACGAAAACATATTTTTAGGGAAGTGTGTTTGCAGCCTAAGGAAGGTCTAACTAAACTCTAAAAAGAACGTTAGTGTGCAAAAATTATTTAAAAAAAAAAACATTGGACCAGTCTGTTTAAGTAGTGCTGAAAGAGGAATGCAACAAGCATGCATTTATGGAGGTTTCTCCTACAAAGAGGAATGCAGGTTCGAACCCTGCAAGAAGGCATATTTTTCTTTGATGAGTACACAGGCCAGTAGATATAATACACACTGTTTTAAAATGAGGTGTCTATTCAAATATTGGTATCCACTAAAAATAATGTTTGAAGTAATAAAAGATGTATTAAAAATAAATTCTTCATATATATATATATATATATATATATATATATATATATATATATATATATATATATGCTCCTGGAAAATTTATTTCGGTTGAGCTCTCTGGGGAGGAAGTGTGGGTTAGTAAACAGTGACTATTGCGGCTAATAATGCATGATTCTTCGGTAAATCAAATCGAGTTCTCTCAGTCACTGTGTTTATCTAAAAATAAATACGCTTAAATTCACCTTCCTTCCTGCCATGTGCCAACAGCCTAAGGATAAAATCTCTGACATGCCAATTCCCCTGGGTTTTGATCTTAGCAAGAGGCAACCGGACATCTAGCCACACTGATGAGCTGTGATACAGTGAAACAGTCTGTCAGTGGATGAGAATATATATATATATATATGTGTGTATATATATATATATATATATATATATATATATATATACACACACGTTTCATTGACTACAACAGACAAGAGGGCATTTAAATATTCATGGAGACCTATTGGGCCCTATTTGTAACATACTTGTTGACAACACAAATATATTAGCATCATCTACATGCAAAAAAAGGCTAAAAATAATGGAAGCCTTATTAATAAAAACAAAACAATTAATAATATCAACTATAAACATGGAGACAATATCTTGACTTTGTTTTGAAAAGTGGAAACATTATATAAATACATACACACAACAATCTATTTCTTGTTAACAGTTAATTTCAACCTTGAAAATGGCTAAACGTATAGCCAAAAGCACTCAGAAAGAAATAACAATTGATTTATCCTCCAAAAAGAAAAAAAATTATATGATCAAATGAGAAATTGTATCAGAAACTAAATGAAAGCACCTTGTCTGTTGTATTTAATGAAATGTACATGAAAGAAGGATTGTTGCCTAAAACACACACACACACACACACACACATATGTGTGTATATATATATATATATATATATATATATATATATATTTGTAGGACATACAACAGTATCTGAAACAAAAGTGATGATGATGAGACCAAGTGGAAAATTTATTAATGAAATGTTTCACCAGAGAGCGTCTACTCTCTTTGGTTTATTCAGGTTAGAAAAAGAGGAAGACATTTTGGCTCACCTGATATTCAACAGGTTCAAATCCTGCCAGAGGACGGATATTTTTCTGACAATATTCCTTGAATATTCAGTCCGGTAGATGTAGTTGGATAAAAAATACTGTTGAATTAAAAAAAACAAAGCTTCTATTCGAATATGAGTATCCGTAAAGTAATGTTTAAATGAAATAAAATAAAAATATGCTGAGTTTAATCCATCTTCTAAAATAATATTTCATTATTACTATTTTTACTATATAACCATTATTATTGTTTTTACCTTACTTTTACTGTAAGCAACATAGTTTGTTTTTATTGTTATCATTATTTATTTATTTAATTATTATTTATATGTTTTCATTTTTATTTTTATTTCTTTTTATTGTTATGTATTATTTTTATTAGTATGTTAATTTTATCACTCCATATTTTATTAATATTATTAATTTTATTAATTTCATTATTGAGTTTCATACAAAAAATAGTTATCCTCCTTAATCTTCAATGTTTTTTTTTTTAATGACAGTGTCTGTTTTGAAATTAAAATTTATAATTCTTATTTTCAATCTTAAATGTTAATCTGGGCCTAAATTCAAATCCCAAAAATTAAACTACAGTTCATTTAAACACTTAACAACAATAATAATTCACCCTAACAATAAAATACCTCGTGATAACCAGAAATATTACACAAACAGTGTAAATTCAAAAATTGTACCTGAAGATTGCAAGTGGCATGAAACTCTGAGTTTCAACTATGCTGAGCAGACCTAAGTTACAGTTTTACTGGTAAAGAGTGTGTTATCTAGCATGATCAACAATTTGAACAAGGCCAGTATGCTCAAGCCCTTGGCCATGATGACTTATGACTTCATGTTAGCACAGCTATCGATGACACCCAAGGGTTCTGTCTACCCAGTATCACTCACAAGGCTTGTGTCAACCCATGGTATGGTTTTCAGGAACTTTCCAAAGTTGCTGCATGCTGGGATTGACCCTTCCAGTCCGATAACATCGGGAAGTCACCTTCCTGAAAAATTGACCATGGTGTGATTCAAACCTGGGTCTCATGTTCAGAATGTGAACATCCTAATCACTTGGCCATGTGCCTATTAATTAGATTCTTCATAAATCCCTTTAAATGAAAACTGTGCCATTAATCTTCTTTGGGGATGCTGAACCAAAAATGACAAACATTAAAGGTAATTTTATCCTTTGTCAAAGTACATCAAACACTTCCTTTCATTTTATGTGCCATGTCCTTTCAGGACGTAAGCGATCATGGCTCTCCACCTCCTCCTATCCCTTGTGGCTCTCAATAAGTTTTGTGCCTCTGCCAATTCCCCCAGACCACTTCCTGCCATCCACTTGCTTAAGCTCGCCAGGTATGTCATGCGTTGTTTTCCCTTGTCTCTTTTTCCCTCTATTTGACCTGTGAGTATCAGATTCTCCAGATTTCTCATTACATGTACCAGAAACTTCATCTGCCTCTTCCTTATGTTAAGTATAAGCTTCCTCCTTGTTTGCATCCTTAGCAAGACCTCATTGTTGCTCACACGCTCACTCCATGATATCCTTAGCATCCTTCTGTAGAACCACATCTCCGCTTCCTCGAGTCTCTTCATCTTTGAGGAGATGGTCTAACATTTGCTGCTGTATAGGAAGACAGATGTCATATAGCAGCTCAGTACTCTTTTCTTTGTCACCAAAGAAATCCTCCTGTCTTGCAGTACTCTGCCCAGCTTTTGGAATGCATCCTTGGTGATCCCAATCCGTCTTTGGATCTCAGCATCACACCTACCATCCTCCATCAAAACACTTCCTGGATATAGGTTTCACTAAAGCATACTTAACTATACAATGTAATGTCTTAATAATAGGTTATTTCAGAAGACTATTATTTTCCTATTTTCAAATTTCATGATTAATTTTTCCTTATTAAAATTTAAAGTACATGCCAGAATTTTAGTTATTCTAGAAGTGTGCCCTTAATTAAAATTGGTTGAGAAACATTGTTCTGATGAATTGTGATATTTAAGGAGGGGATAATTATTTCCCCTTTGCATTCCTCTAGGGATTTAAGTCAGTCATTATCAGCCTCTCTAAAAAGAAAAAGCAGATTCTTCACAAGTCCTTTTAAATGAAAACTGTACAACTTAAATATGTAATGTAATGTCTTAAAAATAAATATTTATTTTAGGAGACTTCTTTATCATTTTCCTATTTTCAAATATTGATACTAATTTTTCCTTATCAAAATTTAAAGTCAGTCTCAGAGCTTTAGTTATTCTACAAGTGCACCCTGAAGTAAAAAAAAAGTTTGAGCAATGCTGATCTAAGATGACCCCCCCCCTCACGTGTTGCACTCTTGTTTTGTCTCTCTCTGTCCATTCCTCTCTTTTTCTGTTTTCCTCTCAGTATTTGTGATACCAAGTGTGGCACACACCATACATAGATACAAATGTATTCATCTCAAGATGCTTCATAGAAAATCTGGCTTGAAAATCACCCCATAAATTAATACTAATAAAAACTTGTATTTAATACTAATAAAAATTTGTATTTGATACTAGTAAAAAAAAAAAACTTTCTTTTCAGAAATTTCGATTTTGTGGGGATCTTGATTGCCCAGATTGGGTCCTGGCTGAGATCAATGTTTTATCAAAACTGGTGAGTTTTATTTTTAATTATTTTTACTTGTTCTGGATATGACGATAAACTACATCTGGCAGCAAGGCCTCTGATTGGGAGATTGGCACTTTTTAATTGCTGTTGTTCCAAGGTTTACTCTGACTTGCGGTGGTAGCACTTGTTAGGGTCCCCGCTATGGGCAAATAGTGGATCACAAAAATTAGTACATTTTTATAATAAAATGACAATCAAGGCAACACTAAAAAAATATAAAAATACATTTTTATAGTAAAAATATGAACAATACATTTTATGATATACAAAATATATATCTAAAAAACATGCCTTTAAAATTATGTACAAAATATCTGTAGTTTAAAGCATAAAATTACATACAAAATATTTAGATTTTGACTATTGTCCTCATTTTTGTTGCCATATTTATCACAACGTTTCGGCTGTTGTACGCTCTATCTTTCTTCGGTTGGTTGGAATGTCGAATTGAACCCTTTATATCACTCACTGGGATAGACTGTTCTAGTTCCACGTGCCATGTCTAATGCATGTCAGTTATCAGTTATCTCCTGTTAATTCCCATCTCCAAGTTCTCCACCGCCTTAACCAGGTATTGAACTCACACTCTTTGGGTCCTGTCACTGGATTTAACTAACGCCTTTATCCATTGTGCCATGTGTTCGAATAATGTAAATAATTTACATAATACCTCATCTCAGAAATATAGACAGTTACATTTCGATTTCAGCATTAATTAACCCATAGAGATTGATATACTGCCAAACAAAATCAACCAGCCAAAAAAACAATATGAAAGAACTCTTTCATGATATTAATCTATATAATATCCTACAATTTCTTAAAGATATCAAAATGTATTCCAAAACATAACTTCAATAAAACTACAACATAAAACACACATATCACCGCCTTTAGTAATCATGTCCACACAAACATGTATATACACTAAAGCTGTGTATTATCTACCATGTACTCAATTGTGAAAGCAGAATAACATATTCATATTTTTTATTTCAAAGCTCTCAAGAAAATTAAATTTCGACATTAAATGACCCATGAAGGAGTTGATATGCTGTTAAACAAACAAATCGAATCAAAGCAACAAATCCAAATCTACCATTTCTCTGGCCACTGAATATTTCTGCCACCTATGGTCTGGTGCTCCTGATATATATCTTGAAATTCTTGGCAAAATCCAAAGAAGAATCTGCAAAGTTATCGGTTCTGACCTGGCATCTCGGGTTCAGTCACTTCCCCATCGCCGTAACGTAGCTTTCTTGTATCTTTGCTATAAATATTTTCATGATAATTTTTCGAATAAACTTTCCTCTTTAGTATCTCGACCACATGAATTTAAGCTAGTACGCTGAACGTGCAAGATGTAACTATGATATGCTGGTAAATAAAATCAAACAACGAAACAACCAACCATTAAATAACTCATAGAAGTGTTGATATGCAACTAACCAAAATCGACCAACATGAAAGAACAATTTCATGTCCTTATAATATCCTACAATTTTTTTAAAGAAATCAAACTGTATTCCAAAATATAACTTCAACAAAACTACAACATAAAACACACACATCACCCACCCCCGGTAATTATGTTCACACAAACATGTATATGCACGAAAGCTGCGTATCATCTACCATGTATTCAATTGTGAAAGCAGAATAACATGTGTCATGTTTTTATTTCAAAGCTCTCAAGAAAATTTAATTTCAACATTAAATGACCCATGAAGGAATTGATATGTTGTTAAACAAACGAATCGAATCAAAACAACAAATCCAAATCTATCATTTCTCTAAGCATTGAATATTTCTGCCACCTATGGTCTGGTGCTCCTGATATATATCTTGAAATTCTTGGCAAAATCCAAAGAAGAATCTGCAAAGTTATCGGTTCTGACCTGGCATCTCGGGTTCAGTCACTTCCCCATCGCCGTAACGTAGCTTTCCTGTATCTTTGCTATAAATATTTTCATGATAATTTTTCGAATAAACTTTCCTCTTTAGTATCTCGACCACATGAATTTAAGCTAGTACGCTGAACTTGCAAGATGTAACTATGATATGCTGGTAAATAAAATCAACCAACGAAACAACCAATATGAAAGAACTCTTTCATGATATTAATCCATATAATATCCTATAATTTCTTAAAGATATCAAAATGTATTCCAAAATATAACTTCAACAAAACTATAACATAAAACACACATATCACCGCCTTTAGTAATCATGTCCATACAAACATGTATATACACTAAAGCTGAGTATTATCTACCATGTACTCAATTGTGAAAGCAACATAATGTATATCATATTTTTATTACTTTAAAGCTCCCACGAAATTAAATTTTGGCATTAAATGACCCATGAAAGAGTTGATATGCTGTTAAACGAATCAATCAATCATCTTTACCTTTTTCTCATCTCAATTTGTGTAACTAATCAATATTTCATTGATTAATTAATTCGTTTTCTATGGCTTATCCATTGCAGGTTATTTAAAGTCAGAAAATATTTTTAGATTGTAAGAATTTTTTTTATTATTAGATAATAATGGTTAAGTGATACAGGTCTTACTAGTTAACCCATAGCTTAGGGGAGAAGAGGTGGATTCATACCTAATCAGAATTTGATAAACAAACAAGAAATTATAATTTGGATATATAGTAGGTGATCAATTATATATTACAATCAGTATATAAACTGATCCCTCACTTTGTAGCCACGGCAATTTCTATACATTTATATTCCAGATATATATGTAAATAAATCTAAAAGACATGCCTGTGCAGTTAATCAGTATTTCATTGTTGATTCATTTAATTTTGATGGCTTGTCAACCTGTTGTAGGTTATTTAAAGCCAGAAAACATTTTTAGATTGTAAGAATTTTTTTTTTATTTTTGAGATAATAATGGTTTAGTGATACAAGTTTTACTAATTAACCCATAGCTGGGGGGAGAAGATGTGGATTTATACATTTTCCAAGGGTATTTGCACGTAAGTAAAACGGACACAATGCGAATTGGGACTTGGCTCTCTGATTAAGAATTTCAAGCCATTATCATGACACCACCTGTAGGGTATATCCAAGTTTACAGGACCTGTTATTTGCAAGCAGTCACCCATTTAGTTACTGATCAGGCTTGATGTTGCTTAACTTCAGTGTTTCAATGTGATATGCCCATAAGCCTTTTATTCTAATTAAGATGTTTTTACTTAGGTAAGGTAGGTACAATTCATTGTTGTTGGAATTTTTTATATAAGAAATTATTATATACTTTTCTATTTGGGCCAGCATACTCAGCTTGGTTGTTATACTCAGTGTTTCGACCATTGTACCTTCAGGCCTTCTTCAGGTGTTTGTCCTTGTATTTGGTAGTGGATGTTTGAGCAATAAGATAGCATCTTAGAATGAGGAATTGGGGAGCTGAATTAGGGTTCAAATTCCAGCCAATGCACAAATCCCCCTGAGAAAGGTATGAAGAGGTATGAAGCCATCCCACAATATGGGTAAAAAAGTAGACTTGTATCGGGAATAAAATCATTGTTATTCTAAAAAAAATTATTTATGCAATATCCACTTACAAAAAAATAATTCTTCAAACCCAAATATGTTTTGGCTTTAAATAACTCACAAAGGGGTGATAAGCCGTAAAAAAGAACAATCAGTCAGTTGTACTTAATAAATTTCTTTTAACTGATCCAGATGAGGCCAAAAATGGAGAACTGTTGCCCAAATATGACAACAGAACTTGATAGAGTTCAAAAGTGTCCCTGAGCCTTTATGGGTGACAAATTATTCTCCCCGCTCCAATTTCTCTACTGCAGGTGGGATGTGGCAAGTCTCTCACTGCTCTGTCCCTACTTTTACAGAAAGTGCTCAGATGAAGTACACTTCCTGATCCTGCCAGTTCAAACCTTCACAGCAAGGACACATCATGCCACTTCCATAGTAGCAAACCACCCACATACCCTCCATATTCCTTCAGTGTGAAGTAAGTTCCACTCGGGCAGCTTCTTCCCACAAACCACTTCTCTGTGGAACCAACTCCCAAGAGGACATTTCTCTGATCACTACAATCTTAACCTATTCTAGGCTAGAGTTAACCATTATCTTCCACTCCTATCTGCACAATTTGCCTCCCTAACCTAGCCCTCTACCTCGAATGACCCCTTGGCCTTGTACAGGGTGAACCTTACTGCAAAAAAAAAAACCTCCAAAAAATATGTAGCAGAAAAGATGGGATTCAGTAGCACAGATACTAGAAACACCCTCGCAACGAATTCCGGTTTAGTACGCAACAACGTAAATTATGATGAACGCACAAAAGTCCTTCTGCCGACTCAACAAGGACTCGCATTTTTAAACGTTCTTGCCGAGCCAGAGAATTTGCATATTGAGCACGCTGCCAGCCTCGATCTGACTCACTGACGCATGCACCATATGATTATATTAATCACGGTTCAGTATCCATGTGTAGGGGAGATAACTCACATCAGCTTATATTCAACTTTGTGTTGCTTGTATCCTTGAGGAAGGTATGAATCCATCTCCTACGCTTAGCTATGGGTTAAATTTTAGTGTTAGAGAATATGAAAAAAAAAAAAAAACTATGAAAGAGAACAATTAATGTACAAGAATTAAGAAAACAGAAGATAATTGTATTTAGTAACTTTCTTGAAATTTTGGATTAAACCTTTTCTTCAACACATGGCAGTAGATTGATCTCACTCTGCTATCCATGCTTAAAGGGAGCTAACTCATGTCAGTTAATATTCCCCTTAGTGTTGCTTCTGGGTTTTTTTCCACTTGAATCAGAGTGTTACTTTTTAACACTACTCAACCATGGGATTGAACCTGATATGTTAAATAATTTCTTTTTATTTTAATTTTCTTTTTTATTTCTCAATGTTTTTTTTTTTGTTTTGCTTTTAATTCAACTTATTTCTGTTTTTAGACTTCAGTGAAGATGCGGCTTCTCTGTTCTCAAGTGATACAAAATATCCTGGGATCCAAGATTGATGTAAGTTTTTTTTTATTTATTTATTTTTTTAATTTATGCTACCCTCACATAGGCCTGGTACCCCTGTTATTTACCCTGAGCTCCTTGATAAGATCCAAAGGAGAATCAGCAATATTATTAGTCCTGATCTGATGTCTCAGCTTCAGTCACTTTCCTACCACCATAAACTTGCCTCTCTGTGTCTTTTCTATAAATACTTTCATGGTAATTGTTTGGGTGTGCTCTTCACTATGGTACATCGAATTTAAGTGCAAGGGACTCACTCTAAAGAAAATAAATCAAAAATATATTATTTTGAAAAAAACCTTGAGTCAGTTTGTTTTATTCCAAAGTTACCAATAAAATAATTATGCTACCACCTATCCACACTGGTGACCTTCCCACATGAACACAAATACCACAAGTACAAGTATTTATACTGCATTTATTTATTTTAACAATGATATACTCATATAATCAATTCAAATGGTTTTTAATATTGATATATAAATGTATAGTGTTTTGAATGAATATAATTAATGAGCTGTAAAAATTATCATGGCACACCTACTATCCTTTCACGGTACACTGGTTGAAAATCACTGCCCTTCCAAGATTATTATGTTGATTTTTCTCATGCAAAGTAATGATTAACAGAAATATCTGGTACTATAGGAGGCTAATCACAAACCAAACCAATCTATACATTTTTGAAAAAAAAACCCAAAAAAACAAACTATTACCAGCTATACATTTCTGAAAAGAAAACAATTACCAGCCATACATTTTTGAAGGAAAAAAATATTACCAGCCATACATTTTTGAAGGAAAAAAATATTACCAGCCATACATTTTTTGAAGGCAAAAAATATTACCAGCCATACATTTTTTGAAGGCAAAAGTATTACTAGCCATACATTTTTTGAAGGCAAAAAAATATTACCAGCAATACATTTTTGAAGGAAAATATTACCAGCAATAAAAATCCTCATCATTAAATGACCCATGGTGATATGCTGTAAAAAAAAAACAAACCAAAGTAATGTAAATTAAATTTTCAATGAGGGAAAGTTTATTTTCACAATAAAAAAAAGATCTAAACTGCCATTATCAAGCCTTCTTATTCTACATACGGATATCTTGTTATCTGACCAGTGTCTTTTTTTTTCCAAGCCACCAGGAACAATGGAACCCTCTCTTCATTATATCAGAAGATAATTTATATTTTCTTATGACACTGAAAATGGCCTTGTTTTATCTAAATAAGAATATTTGAAACGCCGTTTACTTTCTAAAGGACGGAAGAATTTAAGTCATTTATATATGTTGAGTTGATGCAAAAATTTTCAGTATCATTTTTGGCACAATGTTAATGAAATCTGAGAAGTATTTTTTCTTTTCTTTTTTCAGTATGAAAAAGTACACAAACTTACAGCTGATGCAAAATTTGGTATGTGAAATTTATTGATGTTTAATCATGACATAAAATATTTTTGAAAGACTATCTTCATCTTCCTCTTGTTATTTATTTTTTATGCTTTAAGTTGTCTAATGTTCTGAGATGAAGGATTTCCATTATTCCACACATTATTTGACTAATATCTTCATCTTTCTCTTGTTATTTATCAAAGTTCTTTGACTTTCAGTCTACCATTATTTGAGCTTTTTGTTGTAATTTTAATATTATTATATTTATTTAATGCTAATTATTATTTAATATTATTATTAATATTATTATTGTGATATTTCTATTTCAGATGTTGGAGACATAAAGGCTAGTATTGTGGCTTTAACATTTATCATCACCAGTGCTGCTAAACACGATGTCGACAGTGATACGCTGTCTAATGAAATGCAGCAACTTGGTCTCCCAAAAGGTTAGTTTCACTCAGTCATCATTTTATTGTTGCCCTCCAACACCACAAAAAAGTGGGGCTGCTAACCTAAAATATTTGTTCTGTTTTGTAATTACATGTTATAAAGTGCATTAACAAATTTCATTCATTGGGCCTGTTTACCTTTTTTTTTTTATTCTAAACTGGACATTTGTTTCCCAAGTAAACTGAAAATATATCTCCCTTTTTACTCTAATGTAAACCTGACTGTCGCCTGTCCCTTTGTATTTAGTGTACATTTGACCCATGTCTGTACCTTTTGTCTCTAGTGTAAACATGACCCTTGTCTGTCTCTTTGTCTTTAATGTAAACCTGACTGTCGCCTGTCTCTTTGTCTCTAGTGTAAACATGACCCTTGTCTGTCCCTTTGTCTTTAATGTAAACCTGACTGTCGCCTGTCTCTTTGTCTCTAGTGTAAATCTGAGCCTTGTCTGTACCTTTGTCTCTAGTGTACACCTGATCTGTGTGTGTCCCTTTGTCTCTAGTGTACATCTGAGCCTTGTCTGTCCCTTTGTTTCTAGTGTAAACCTGGCCAGTGTCTGTCTTTTTGTCTCTAGTGTAAACCTAAAATAAATCATTACTTTATTGTCTTTTTAATTTTGCCCTCTACCTCCCACCAAAAAAAGGAGGCTGCTAACCCAAAATATTTTTGTTTTGTTTGTCATTACAAGTGATAAAGTTCATTAACAGACTTTATTTATTGGGTCTCTGTTTATCTTTTTTTTTATAGTCCTGGGTATGATGATAAACTGCATCTGGCAGCAAGGCCTCTGATCAGGAGATTGGAGGTTTTGAGGAGCATGGAACTACCTCTTAATTGCTGTTGTTCCATGTCTGCCCTGATCTGGGGTGGTAGCACCTGCTAGGGGCAAATTGTGACCCCACCTCCCCAAACAAAAACAGAACACTGAAAGTATAAAAATACATTTTTATAGTAAAAATACCAGCAATACTTTTTTATATAAAAAAATTACCAACAATATGCACATACTAATGACTTACAGTGACTCCATCCAAATCTGTTTAAAATACTACTAAACAACTAACATAAAAGAACTTGTTCATGATATTAATTTATATAATACTTTACAATTTCTTAAAGAAATGAAACTCTATTCCTAAATATAACTTCAACAAAACTACAGCATAAATCGCACATATCACCACTTCTAGTAATTATGTCCACACAAACATGTATATGGACAAAAGCTGCGTATCATCTACCATGTATTCAATTGTGAAAGCAGAATAACATATATTTTTATTACTTCCAAACTCCCAAGAAAATAAAATTTTGGCATTGAATGACCCATAAGGAGTTGATATTCCATTAAACTGACAAATCAATCAACCGTTTTTTATTCTAAACTGGACCTATGTTTGCTTTTTTATTTCTTGTGTAAACTGAAAATAGGTCTACCTTTTTGACTTTAAACTGGACTCTTGATTTGACTAGTGATTTATGCTAAATATGTGAAAACTGAAACAATTTTGCATAACTCCCATAACCAATTAAGGATTTAGGGCTACCACATGTACTGTATCTGTAGCAGCAGTGGGTGTGTCTAGAGCAAATTAGTCTGAAGGTGCCAATCCCCCTTCAGGCTGGTTTTGAATTTAGTTTTCCTTCTAGACTGGTTGCCAGTCAAAGGTAGAAAGCTGAGTTTACCCTTCTATTTAACCCAGAGCTGGAGAATGAAAAAATGGATTCATGCCCTTTTCAAGGGAATTTGTTCAAAAGTGAATGCAACAGCAAAATTATCTTGTCTTTTGCATTTTATGATGACTAGTGAAAAAGCTACCAAACACAACTTGGATTTAATGAGTTTATGATAATTTTTACTCCACTCATGATGAACAATTGTAATCTCAATGAGACTCTTTGCCTTGAATGACAATTGGAACTGAAGCTCACTCCAGATCTTAAGTGAAATTTTATATTCATAACATAAAGATACTGGAAAAATGGTTGGTTCCTTGTACATCTCCAGAAAGTATCTGGCTCCTCCTACCACACTCTATATTTACAAGGGCCAAAAAATAGAGTATTCCTGCCATATTTGGCTGGACCTCTCCAGTACTCGCTATCTGGATGAGACAGAATTGAAAAACCATTTACATAGTTTTGTGGGTGATGAATTATTTATTATCCACTTTGGGTAGTAGCACCTGTTAGGTTCCCAGCTATGGGCAAATATTTAAAAAACAAATGTCACCCTACACCCTTCCTGGTTGCCCAAGATGTCTAATACCTCTGGCTGATCGATGGGGGTGATCACTCCAATCCAGGTTCAACCTTATCCCATGTTGTAATTTGCTTGATCATAAGGTGACCAAGAATGAATCTTCATATGGCATCTTCATATTGGGATGGTCCAAGTAGGGTAAAGGCACACAGTAAGAAAATAACACTCGAATAAATTGAAAAAAATTAAATACTGTTTTTATATCAAGTCCTTCATACAGTATTTGGTTAAATCAAGAGTTCACATGCAACAATTATTGACCCAACCCACTTCTAACTTGGATGTGACACTTTTGTTGACTTGATAAAGTTTGTTTTGCTGATTTGGTAAAGTTCTGCACAAGACTGAAGTTGAGGGTTCTCTTTGGCAAATAATCACATGGGGTGTATCACGACTGGTGGCTGGAACAAACTCTTCCACTGATGATCTCACTTCGAGCATTCATATTTATTGACATCACAGTTCAAATCCACATCCACCTTATGTTTTTCATTGTTCAAAACCCTGCCACACAATTCAGGTGGCTGTTGACATGAAAATAAAAATCTTCAATTTTTCCCATGGATTTTATTCATTAACCCTTCTTATTTATCAGTAACAAAATAGTGTCACACAAAAACAAAATATGAAAATATAAAAATACGTTTTTATAGTAAAAACATACCAGCAAAAAATTTTTATATCATAAAATTACCAATAATGCCTATTTATAAAAAAATTACAAACAATATATTTTATCTGTAATTGAAGTCATACAATTGTGTTAAAAATATATTTATTTGAAGCCATGAAATTGTGTTCACATAGAGGTTGATATGCTACTAAACAAAATCAATCAACCAACCATTATCCACTTTGCTTTCTCTTTTTCACAGGGAGAATATTAGTAACTTCTTACTACTTCATCACTATTTTCATGGCACATGTTTAGTTGAGCTATATTCCTTAGTCCCACCAGTTCAGACCTTCACAGCTAGAACCTGCTATGCCATGTACACAAGGTACATGACATATTCCCTTCATATTCCATTAGTAAGGAGTTGGTAAGTTCCACTCTTCCTTGGAACTGTTGCTCTGTGGAACAGACTCCCTAGAGGATGCTTCCCAATTACGACAATTTAAACTTTACAAGTCATGGGGCAATCATTATCTATCTGACATATCTTCATAAAATGCACTTCTTACTTCCTCCCGTCCTGGGTATGATGATAAATTACATCTGCATCCTGGGTTTGACAATAAACAACATTCGACATCAAGGCCTCTAATCAGAAGGTCTTGAGGAGCATGGAACCACCTCTTAATTGTTGGTGTTCCCAGGTCCACTCTGACCTGGAGTGGTAGCACCTGTTAGGGTCCCAACTATGGGCAAATAGTTAGCCCCCAAAGTGCGGCCAAAACACCATGAAAGTGTAAAAATAAGTTTTAATACTAGTGATAAATTTTTTGAAGAAAAATTATTACCAGCAACACATTTTTGAAGAAAAATTATTATCAGCAACACATTTTTGAAGAAAAATTATTATCAGCAACACATTTTTGGATAAAATATTACTAGCAATAAAAATCTTCTTGGCATTAAATAACTCATTGAGGTTGATATGCCATAAAACAAACCAAACCAAACCTGATCTCCAAACTGATTTCTTATAAAGACTACATGTTCTTTTCATATGAACCCAATGGGAATTGGAACATGATTAATGATTCATTACATCACCTGAACATCCAAGATTACAGTATCTGTTATTCCAAAATGTTCACCATCTAGGTACTGATCAGGTTTGACGTTATTTAACTTCTATGATCGCTTGTATCTTGAGTGGCTCTTGGGCTTTGGGTAAGGTGAATAATAGAATAATGAAAAATGGAGTGTAAATTCTGAAAGCTGGCTCCCAAGTGTAGTATCTTTTCTTATTTTCTCTTAAAGTTATGAGGATAGACTGACCATATGAGATCCCAATATTAATAGTAACCTTTTGTTTAATGTTGGTCTTTTCAGAACATTCTGTACCATTGTGCAAATTGTATGGTGATAACTTTATCAAATGTCAGGACCAGTTAAGAAAGCAAACTTTAAGACGTAAGTATTATTACTTTTTATTGTGTCTGCAGAAATTCTTTCTGTTGCAGCATTTAGATTTGTCTCTCTAATTTCCAAGAACCAGATCAGGATGAAAAGAGAGTACTGTTGCTGTATGCATTTTCATAGTAAAAATCATTGGCCAATGCATTTTCATAGTAAAAATCATTGGCCAATGCATTTTCATAGTAAAAATCATTTCCAATGCATTTTCATAGTAAAAATCATTGGCCAATGTATTTTCATAGTAAAAATCATTGGCCAATGCATTTTCATAGTAAAAATCATTTCCATTGTATTTTCATAGTAAAAAATCATTGGCCAATGCATTTTCATAGTAAAATCATTGGCCAATGTATTTTCATAGTAAAAAATTTCCATTGCATTTTCATAGTAAAATGTATTTTCATAGTAAAAATCATTGGCCAATACATTTTCATAGTAAAAATCATTGGCCAATGCATTTTCATAGTAAAAATCATTGGCCAATGTATTTTCATAGTAAAAATCATTGGCCAATGTATTTTCATAGTAAAAATCATTGGCCAATGTATTTTCATAGTAAAAATCATTGGCCAATGCATTTTCATAGTAAAAAAATCCAATACATTTTTGTAAAAATCATTTACATTAGTAAAAATCATTAGCCAATGAATTTTCATAGTAAAAATCATTGGCCAATGTATTTTCATAGTAAAAAATCATTGGCCAATGTATTTTCATAGAAAAATCATTGGCCAATGTATTTTCATAGTAAAAATCATTGGCCAATGTATTTTCATAGTAAAAATCATTGGCCAATGTATTTTCATAGTAAAAATCATTGGCCAATGTATTTTCATAGTAAAAATCATTGGCCAATGTATTTTCATAGTAAAAATCATTAGCCAATTATTTTCATAGTAAAAATCATTTCCAATGTATTTTCATAGTAAAAATCATTGGCCAATGCATTTTCATAGTAAAAATCATTAGCCAATGCATTTTCATAGTAAAAATCATTGGCCAATGTATTTTCATAGTAAAAATCATTGGCCAATGCATTTTCATAGTAAAAATCATTGGCCAATGCATTTTCATAGTAAAAATCATTGACCAATGCATTTTTATTGTAAAAATCATTTCCACTGCATTTTCATAGTAAAAATCACTGGCTAGTTCATTTTCATGGAAAAATCACTAGCCAATGCATTTTCATAGTAAAAATCATTAGCCAATGCATTTTCATATTAAGAATTATTAGCCAATGCATTTTCATAGTTAAAATCATTTCCATTACATTTTCATAGTAAAAATCATTTTCAATGCATATTTGTCAGATTCTGATTCCATATTTTATCTATATTGGATCCCAACTCATATATATATATATATATATATATATATATATATATATTTATATATATATAATTCAAAAACCTGGTAGGCAGTGACTGATCAATACTATAAGTTTCATGTGTTTTTCACACAATCTTTAAAGCAAACTTACACGGTGGGAGGGTAAATCGTCCAGCCAATATCTAAAATGGCTGAAAAAAAAAGAAAGGTTCCACCTGGAAAGGGTTGGCAGTATGGGAAAATATGCTTAATAACAAGTGAAACTGGAAGCTTTAATAATAAAAAAGAAAAAGCCAACTCTTAACAATATTAACTACGAACAAAGCCACAATGTGCTAACTGTATTCGAAAATTAAAAACATCCCTACCATATACTAAGACATACACAGAACGCACACTTTCAAATAAGCTGAATAATTGAATCATCTTTGATAATGGCTAAAGGTATAGCCGAAAGTGCTCGGAACTATAAAACATTTGGACAGTTTTTACACAATCTTTGTCCAGAACACAGGAAAAATTAAATAAAAAGCACACTCTTTGTCGAACACAAGAAAAATTAAATAAAAAGCTTAACCATAGTACCTTGTCTGTTGTTTTTAATGAAACATGCATATATATATATATATATATATATATATATATATATATATATATGTTCAGTTCACCCCAGGCAAGGTGATAATGCCACTAAGATGCAAGGGGGTAACTAGGAGTTAAAGAGAATGAGAAAACTTTAGATGCACTGGAAACCCAATTCTAAACATTAAACACGATAATAAACCTCTATTCCTGTTCAAAAGACTGGGATGGAGTTTGAACTCATATTATCTGAACACCTGCATTTTTTTTTTATACAAAGCATCTCACTTTTCTCTATTTCTACTTGTAGTGTCCTATTTTGATTCTGTAAAATGGCGAGTGGATTATGTCATAAGTTCAAGTTCTTTAAAGGTGAGAATATTTGATCTTTTGTCTTTTTCTGATCAAGAATCTCAAATCTCTTACTTTAATTAAGATCAATTACATTTTGTTGATCAAATACTGACCACTGACCTTCGTATGACGACAAACTACATCCGCGTCCTGGATAAGATTATAAACTACATCCAACAGCATCCTCTGATCAGGGGGTTTTGAGGAGTGTGGAACCACCTCTTGCTTGCTGTTGTTCCCAGGTATTCTCTGACCCAGGGTAGTCCCAGCTATGGGCAAATGTTTAACCACCAGGCTGGTGTCAAGACACTGTGAAAGTGTGAAAATAGGTTTTAATACCAGTAACACATTTTTGTAAAAATATTACCAGCAATGAATTTATGAAGAAAAAAATTTTTTACCAGCAATACATTTTTGAAGAAAACATTACCAGTAATACATTATTTTGAAAAAAATAATACCAGCAAAATCTTGTCTGCATTAAATAACCCATTGAGGTTGGTATACTGTAAAACAAACCAAACCTTAAAAGAAGAAATATTACCAGCAATGTAATTTAAAAAATATTACTGGCAATACATTTTTGAACAAAAATATTGTCAGCATTAAATAACCAATTGAGGTTGGTATACTGTAAAACAAAACAAACAAATAATCATTATTTAACTAACAAAGTGCATGTTTTTCAAAGTTACTTATATTCTTCATGGTTGAAGGAGAACGTAGTAGTGCGTACATTCAAATAATTATATATATAAATAAAAAGAAAGAACAGTAAGATATATAATCCGTGTTCTTATAGATATTTTTATTTTTACAAAATAGTGCTCAATGTAAATTTACAGAGCATAATATTATAAATTAATTGATTTAAAATATGGTTTTTCAGCTACACAGTTCTAACCATGTTTCAAAAAAGCTAAAAAGCCCCAAATTTAATTTTGCATGCTTTTAATTTAATTGCAAAATTAAATTGGGGGCTTTTTAGCTTCTATTTTTGAAACATGGTTAGAACTGTGTAGCGGAAAAAAACATATTTTAAATCAATTAATTTATAATATATATATGTATATATAATTATTATTTTATAAATTAAAATAAAATGCCTTTTTGTTTTAAAATATTGTGCAACTAATAAAATTATATTGAATAAATAAAATTGGACAAAGTTCAAAATAAAAATGTTTTTTATTTTTTAAATTATAGAATGTGACTGAACCCTGTGTCAAGATCTGCTTCAAGGTGCGTGAAAACGACTCTGGGACACCACAATCTGTGGCATTCACTTTATCTGCTGAAAAATTCCGTGTTTTCCTCAATGGTAAGATTATAAATACTTATGTGTCTATGACTGAAATCTGCTTCTTTAGAAATTGATTTGTTTACATTAGGATTTGAAACTGAGCAGATATGAATGTTTCCAGAGCCTGAGAAAGAATAAGGCACTATTCAAGTTTGCTTGATCATTGAGGCAGTTCATAGCAGAGATGATCTCAAGCATGGCCGATTTAATGACACTTTCTTTTACTAAGAGGGATGCAGACTTAAATATTTTTCTTTAATAAGATTTAATATATTGTTTAATTAATAAACAGAACATCTACTCAAAAATGGGTATCCATTAAAAATAATGCTTAAATGATAATATATATATATATATATATATATATATATATATATATATATGAAGAAATATAGTCTTAAGATGTGCTATATTTATGGGATAAAGTGCTCAATATCAGAGATAGAGCGTGTGTAAATATAAAGTGAACATAGAAGTCAACACTTAGAGGTGACAGTCTGTTTCATGCTAGACGCAATCGTCAGGCCTGACAATAGCATGAAACAGACTATCACCTCTAAGTGTTGACTTCTATGTTCACTTATATATATATATATTGATGCATGTTTCATTAAATATAGACAAATTTTGTCTATTTATTTTAAGTAAGTTCCTTTTGTAATGTCTGATAAGCTTAATAACATTATCATTGAAAGACAAAAGGAAATCACCATATTGATACATGTTTAAATCCGACGCTTGACTCTACATTCGAATGATAACTATAACATTTTTAGGCATTTAAAACAACATGCCTGGCCGTGTACACAATTCCGGAAAATCCTTGTTGAAAATATAACTATACTTAAACATGAAAACAATAAACAAAAACTAAAAATTCTTGAAGCTATAAACATAAAACAGTTGAAACCTAACCTGAACAAAATAAACTACAAAATCTCCACAAATATTCTTAAATGCCTATAATTGATAACTGAAACCATTGGTTTATACCAACGGTTTCCCATAATTAATATTTCTTGTTTTTACTCTCGTGTGGTCATGTGTGACGTCACAAGCTGCAATGCGATTTTCGCTTCCGCGTCTCGTATACACAAGTTTGTCGTTGCTTTGAAATTTTTCGTACAACAAAAATAGACTATCATTATTGTTTCGTCCATGTATTGTTTGATATATTGAAATGTAATTGTCATCTTTGATAATGGCTTATGTAAGCTGAAAGCTTAGTTCAGATTTAAACATGTATTAATATGGTGATTTTCTTTCGTCTTTCAATGATAATGTTATTAAGCTTATTAGACAATATGAAAGGAACTTACTTAAAATAAATAGACACAACTTGTCTATATTATTTAATAAAACATGCATCAATGAAAAATTGCTGCCTACATATATATATATATATATATATATATATATATAAAGACGTATCTCTTTAAATAATTTAGACAAGCTTAGTCTACTTATTTTTAATAGGATCCTCTCATAATTACAGACAAGTTTCTTAGTATCCTTAAAAATAAGTAGACAAAACTTATCCAAATTATTTAATGAGACATGTATTAATGAAAACATGCTGTAATAATATATATATATATATATATATATATATATATATATATATATATATATATATATATGTTGTGGAGTGTTTTCACAGTGGAGGCTTGTATTTCTAATAAGTCGTCCTAAATTAGGTCTGACGTACAAAATGTTAGGAACTTGGAAAATAAGAGTCAATGGCGCAGCAATCTAGTTGTGATGGTTGGTACTTCAAACGTCCGAATCTCGACTGACGCGCTCAACACCATTCTGCCAGACTTGCCACTGCTACTCCTACTTATTATCTATGGGAGAGTCCATTACAATAGAATAGGTACTATGGCATAACAATATATGAAGAAATATAGCTTTAAAGTGTGCTATATTTGTGGGATAAAGTGTTCAATATCAGAGAGCATAGGCAAATATAAAAGTGAACATTGAAGTCAACACTCAGAGGCGACAGGCTACCTGACAATTGCATCGAGCATGAAACAGCCTGTTGCCTCTGAGTGTTGACTTCAATGTTCACTTATATATAAATGTGTGTGTGTTTTATTAAATGGGCAAATTAATCTTGCTATCATTTTGTGATAAACCGAATATGTCTTTTATTTTGGCTAAAAATATGCAAAAAGTAGAAAAGATCCAATCATTTAATATTAACAAGAAATAACTTGCTTAGGGCAGTGACACCTTTGTCCTCTTCAAAGTTCTTCACTTTTCATAAAAGTCTGGAAATCCATCCTTTTTGGGTTGGGAGGTGGAATCACCATAAACTGTATCTTTTTGTTCTCCTTAACCTTGTCCATAGGATTTCAATAATGATTTTATTTTAATGCTATTGTTCATTCAATAAAAGACCCAAGAGCCATTCAAGGTAGAGGGTTACTGAATAGGGTTGTTTTATGGATGTTAGAATTGAAATATTTTTGCTGGCATAGAAAATTTAATTGAAAGTGATAAAAATGAACATATTAAAACAAGAAGAAAAATTAGCAATGATATTACCACTTTTTTGTTAAACATGTTTCAATATTACTACTTTATGCTAATGTTTCTTCTGTAGCAGTATGATTTCTCACACATCCTTAGGAGATAAATCTATTCTTTTTGCTTTTAAGTCAATTTAATGACCAGGGTTCTCAGGAATCTTGTCTCCAGTTCATCTTTGACTCGGTTTAATGGCCTGGATTTTTTCAGGAATTCTGTCTCCAGTATGCTTTTGAATAAGCAAAACATAAAATTTTGTTAGTGATTTTAGATAATCATAAAAGTAGAGTTCTTCGAAAAATTGACTACCCAAAAGCTGGATGGGTGGTCACCATTTCTGGAACACCAGTGGATGGATAGGGGTGGTGTGACCTCAGCCTGTATAATGAGTGGTGAGTGAAGCAGTTAGTGAGGAAGGTGGTAGTCAGGAGGAATGGACAAGCAGTGAGTGATTCAGCAGCCACTGAAACAGTCAGGCAGTGAATGTAAGGGTCCTTTTTCGATGGCCAGAAATTAGCAAGATTGTAGTTCACTTTTTCAAAGCTGAAAGAAGACATTGTTGATTAAATGGGAAATCATATTGATCTCTACCTTCCAGTCTATGTCTTGAAAAGTATTTGCCATTATTCTTTGTTGAATTCCATCATGGCCAGTGGGACAAATCTGTGAACATAGCGAGCTGCATGTATATACACATACAGCCAACGTTGGTTGTCATCACAGCTTGTGCAGTGATGTGTGGAAGACATTGTTATACTTTTCCAGTTTTTTTTTACATCTTTTTTTCTTAATTTTTCTTGTTTTAAAATATTGATTTTTATTGCTTTAAAATAAGAATTGTAGATTATGAGGATATGTAGGCTAGATAATGATTGGCTCTGAACTTGAAGATGTTTAGATTGTCTTGAGCAAAGAAGAACCCTTGGAAGTTTGTTCCACAAAGCAGTAAAGATTCTGTCTGTCTGTAGTGGTGAAATTTTGCAATGCCTTGGGAAATTCGACAGTCGTACAGTACACAAGTGCCCTCCATAGCATTTCACTGTTGACTGCCTAACTCCACATTGGAGTATCTGTTCATATATATGTAGTAAGATGCTGTCTGGTTGTGAAGTTATATCAAAGCCATAGCACCAATTCTTCAGATATTTCAAATAGCTGGATACTTTCCAGACATACCTTGTTTATATGAGGGGGTGCTGACCACTTCACAGAATCTGACCAAAGCATTAGAATTTGATTTAAGAATTCCTTATCAGTCCTGCTGAGAACTTTTCAACATCTCTTGTAGATTTTTCTTTAGAATTTATCGTTTTAAATGCACAAATTTATTAAATTAGATTTATATACATGCTCTTTTTTATCCAGCCTCCATATCCTCATTATCTTTACCCCCTCCTCTTACATTCCTATCACACACCTCATTCAGTAACACTATCTTGAGTGGCTCTTGAGCCTTGTATTGGGTGAACATAATAAAAAAAAAAAAAAAAAAAGAAAAAAGGTGTTTGTAGTATGTTTTTGATGTGATTGTATCTGTTTTGCAGAATTGAAACAAGCTGATTCTGTAATGGACACTCTAAATGCAATGTGAGAAATTGTGGAAATTTAACCTTCATTCAGGAAAATTTGTAAATAATATCAAGAAAAAAAATATATATATGTCTGTAAATTTACAATAAAACAGTTCAAATAATTTTTTTTTTGTTTTTCCTACTTGAGTACCTGTTGTCGGTAGGCATCAAGGTAATCAAATTTTAAATGTAAATTTTTTATCTATTTAAAATAGTACGCTTACTGGAAGATCTATTTAGTTTAAATACAAGAGGAGTCATAAAAATAATTTCAAACAGATAGTTTATACTCTTTTCCTGTTTCCCAAGTGTTGTTGACAGATGAAAGGAAATTAACCTTCGCAGCATTTTCTGTCTGAATTTCTGGGTTGAGGAGTTACCATTATTTACACTATTTATATTCAGACTATTGTCCTCATCTTTGTTGTTGTTATCAAAACATTTCAGTTGCTGTACCCTCCGGCCTTCCTCAGGTCTATATCGATCTGTGTAACCTACAGGGAATGAATTTCTGAGAAGAGGAATTATCATTATTTACACTATTTATATTCAGACTATTGTTCTCATCATTGTTATTTTTACCACAATATTTAAATTATTGTGACCTTCGGTCTTCATCAGGTGTATATTAATTTGGGCAGCCTGCAGGGAATTCCAAATGTAACACTTTATTTCATCTACATGGTTAGACTGTTCTCATTCCAATACCCATATTTAGGGATATTGTTCAGTTTTTATTTTTTAGTACTGTTCAATTATTGCTTGCCCATTTACATGGCATTCAAGTACACACTGCTTAGCGGATTGAACTGTTGATTTTTTGAATTTAGTGACACAGTGATTGTGAGTTCAGTCTCTGAGTCTTCTTGATAGGAAATACCCATGCCTCACCGTTTTCCCATTAGGAAATATGCCCTCGACATAGAAAATAAATCTGGCCTTCTCAAATTGCCATTGAGAAATAAAAAAAGATATATTTTCTCTAGAAACACAGAAGAATCCTCCAGCAGATTGGATTACTGTGGGGAATTATTACAAATAAGACCAGTTATCTCTTCAACATTTTCACACTGATTGTTGTTCTATACATGTGTTATAGTTTCTCTGTGTGGGACAAATGTAAATATTTGTATATACTTTTGTGTGAGATTTAGCACTATAAATTTTCTTTCTGTTCTGTTCATATATTAAGGTGTTACTATATCATGTATATAATAATGCCCATAATGGGGGAAATAAAAGTAGGAAATATTAATTTTCTTGCATAGCACATCCCATTAGTTTTATTCCAAACTCTGTAAAATTGGGTGTGTGCAGGAGTGGGTGTATGCAGGTGTTGGTATGTAGATTAAATGGCACAATGAATCATTCGGCTTCGCAGCACTACCAAAGATGTAATATTCTTGGCGTTGTGACTGATCTTCATGTAAATAAACATCAGCATGCAGAGGAGGGAGCCAGAATTTATGTTTTGTAGTTGTGATTCCCAAAGAATCTATGGTAATTTCTTTGTATCTGCTGAAAACCAATTTTGCAAAGCAAACCAAAGAACTAAAACTCTGTTCTTACTTGCTATGAAAACAAAATAGAAGACAACCACAAAAATTAGATAATGGAATTCTCAGTATCCTTCTGTAGAACCTTAAAGATGTTTGTGGTAAAAGAATATCTTGGCAAAGTTGTAAACAAAATTTATAGAAGGTGAACATCAGTTCAAGGTCATAAATTTACAATTTCATATGCGAACATAGAGAAAGCACATGTTTTTCCCAGTTCACATTCCTTCCTCATCTTTTGAACAGGAGTAGAGGTGTATCCCATGTTTCCTGTTTAGGATTGTGTTTCTGGTTCCTTCTAAAGTTTTTTCATTCTCTTTCACTCGTAGTAATCCCTTGTGTCTTAGTTGCATTATTGCCTTGCTTTGGGTGAAATGATTAAAATAAAATCAGATATAAAAACAGTTACATCAAGTGTCTTAGATTTCACACGTACATCCTGCTACAGACTCTGTACCAGTTGTAACCAAAATACTGCCATCATAAATTTTTGCAACCTTATTTCAAAGGTGCTGATGGGTGTAACTATTTTTTTTTAACCATTTCACCTTAAACTGCACCCATTTCTGTTGCTTCATGTCTCTTCTTCATCTGTGAGGAGATTGTCCAGCATTCAGTGCCATATAGGAGGACTGATATTACGTAACAGTTCAGTACTATTTTGTTTGTTTCTATTGTTTCAAGTCACTTCTTCATCTGTGAGGAGATTGCCCAGCCTTCAATGCCATATAGGAGGACTGATATTACGTAACAGTTCAGTACACTTTTCTTTGTTTCTGTTGTTTCAAGTCTCTTCTTCATCTGTGAGGAGAATGTCCATTCACTGCTATATAGGTGTGTAACAGGACACAGACTTTGTTTAAACGTTTAATTGCATGGAATTATATGAAGGTGATTTGGAGGAATTGCTAACTGGATAACACTGGTCAACAACAAAAAAAAAAATTGAAATTGTATCGAGGCACCAAACATTTTTTTTTTTTTTTTTTTTTAGCTAATTTGAGGGCGCTGAATCTGAAAATGACCTCACTTTTTCTTGATTAGCTACCGTTTTGCTGTACAGAAATGCCTCATTTTTTGGGATAAAAAAATTTTTTTTCATTTGTTTTCTTTATATATGATATTGACCGATGACAATATTTCTCACAATAAAATCGTAGAAACCTCTCAATTTATATTTAAACCAACAAATATTCGTCTGTTTATTGAGAAATAGAATTTTTGCAATAACAATCAGATCCTAAGTTTTTAAAAATAACACCATTGAATATGCCAAGACCAACAAGTATTTTTATCAAATCATTTAATAAACTAACAGCAGAAAACCTTCGTGAACATAAGAACTATGGTAAAAAGTTTCTCTTTCTTGATTGTCTGTAATATTCAATGTTATTTAAGTCCCTTTTGATATTCCAGCAGTATCATGTACAATAGAATTGGTGCATTCAATTGGGATGTCTTTAGTTGGAGTTTTTTTCCAACTGTGAAAACAAAATGCTCTCAATGTGCTTGGTTTCCTACCGTAGTGAAGGGATAAAAGTGATGGGATGAATTTATGAATATCAAACAGAAGATTTTAGGGTTTCATTTTTTGATGTCACCTTAATTATCAGGTTTACTAAAGTGTATTACTAATAAAGTTTATCAGTTAATTTGAATTTGGGCGATAAATTGGAAGAATTCGGTACATCTATTTTAAAATTTTTGTTTCAAAAACACTTTTTTCCTTATAAAAATAGTTTATTTTAGGTGGTTGACATAAATTGCTCGGCTTCCCTGAAAATTAATGGGTTTCTACGAACTTTATTAACTAAATTTTGCAACCAGCCAAGATCGTAAATTGATCTTTTTTTCCAAAAATGAGCAATTTCAGTACAGCAAAAATGGTAGCTAACCATGAAAAACTAAGGTCATCTTCGGAATCAGCACCATCAAATTAGCTAAAAAAAAACGTGGTTGTTTCTGGGTACCAAAATCGTGTTGTCCAGTGTAATAGTTATTAAAATTCTCAGAAGTGTAGGTTGAATGGTTGAGAAAGAAAAAATGAAAAAAGAAACGTAAAAATTATGTTTTTAAAGTGAAATGAAATTAAGAAAAGTTCCGGGTAGAATCAAATCCAGAATTAAGTAGCCAAGATTCAGTAAAAGTAAGCAAAACTAAGGTGCTCCATCTTATCCTTTCCCACCGATAAGAAGAAGACATGATAAATGTAGTGTCCAAATTTCTTTGGTCCTGAGAAATAAAATTCGTTGGTTTGTTCCAAAACGCGCGTGGTCTTACAAAAAAGAATGATCTGAATTCCTCTAAACAAAAGAAGCATCTGTTATTTGTTAATTCCCAAACTTGGGATTTGTTTGTGCTGATGATGTCCGCCCCAAAACACCATTATCTTTGCAAAAAGATATCTAGAAAGATTTGAAACAAAGAGAGTACCATATGGTTGTTAACATGATTTCCTAAGATTAAGACGGTTAGATGGAGTAATTAGATGTATCAATATCAATTTTTTGGTGTGGAGAAGTCTTTATAAACGAGAGCTCACCTGCCCTAAATACGGAGACGGGATCTCGAGGAAGTCGGCTCAGAGATGCCCTGGATTGCTCGTAAGACAGTCACCGTTAAAGAGCACACTCGCAATTCCCGTGGCACGAACGAAAACACTGACACACATGACAGGAGAATTACGTGAGAGTCGACTGGCTGGTTATTATTTTAGCATTTGCGACTAGATTTCCCAAATCATCACCCGGTAGTAGAGAGCTTGATTTTGCAGTACATCGTAGACATTTTATTCAACCAGTTTTTCTTTATATACCCCTGGTCAAAAACTCAAGACCAGATACAAAACGGTTAAAAAAAATGCTGTTACTTTAATCAAAATATATTTGCGAAACATTTACATTTAATTAGGAAATTTAATTTATCAACAAACAAGTGAAAATTTATAGCTTTTAATTGATTAATCTAAACAAACATTGAAAAAAGGATTTTTTTTGGTTGGCCATAAAGATAAGACGATGTGTGACAAAAACAAATTACTGGACGAGAATTTTAGAACTAGTCAGTGTGTTCATAGCTTCAGACGTGTAGACATCTACGTAGCTTATTTCCAGTATTAAATTTCAGATTTTAAAATGGCTCAGGATAAAATTTTAAAAAAGTTCGAACAGGGCAGGATTGTTGAACTTCAAAGACGTGGCTTTTCGCAACGAACCATTGCAAATGAAATTGGCCGTAGCAGAATTGTCATTGCTAACTTCATTAAAAATCCGGATGCAAATGTTTTTAAAAAATCAATCGGTCACCCTAATAAAATATCACCATCTCTAGACAGACACATTAGGCGAGAAGTTAAGAGATAAAAGCGAATACAGATGCTGAATACAATTCGACGGCATTTAAATAAGAAAAGTTTGTCTATCCTGGTCAGTAGTTGTCTTAGCTTGTCTAAGCTGATCAGAGCT